TCGGATGCAAATAGTCAAGCTGCTAATAGATAAGTGCATCAAGTACGAAGAAAATGGTTGTTTTTAAATAAAATAAAAATGGAGGGTTCAGGAACTATACGGAACATAGCTACAACCTACACTAGGTTTTGTTTCGGATGCATTTCATGACTTTTTTTTTTAGCACCGTGTAATTATGCAAATTAAGTAAACGAGGGACTTTAGACTCGAACTTTTCTTGCACAGAATATTATTCCATAAATGGACAGTTCACCCTAATGATAAACGATCTGGAAGTTGAAATGTTCCAGCTTTCCTCTGGCTTAGTATTAAAAACAATAGTTCTCACTGAAACGATTTTTCATCGCAACACGCAGACGCCCCTTTCATTCTTAACGTTGATTTCTCCAAAGTTTTGATTTCGTTTTATTCTCTAGCAGAACGTTCCCCAGACTTTTGTTCTTATTTGATCCTCCTTGGAACCATTCACGATACTTTCGTTCTCATTTTATTCCCATTGGAAACGTTACTGAAAGTTCTTCTTGATTTCTTGATTTCCCCTGATTTTTTTTCGCATTTTGTTCTTTGCGGAAACGTTGCTAAACCTTTTGTTCTCATTTTTCTCCCGTTCAAACTGCTCTCAATACTTGTGTTCCTGTTTGATTCTTTTGTGGGAGCGTTCTTGATATTACATTTTGTTCTCATGCAGAACTAAACCAAAACTGGAACGCGTTCTCGGTCCCTGTTTTAAACTTCTTAATAGCCAATGCGTGGTGGAATGCATTATGACTCTATTGAAGTAAATGTAGTAACAATTCTTATCATAAATACATATGTATGTATATATATATTTGTATGTAAATTTCTTATTCGTAATTTTCAGATGAAGACACCGGCGATACAGAATGATTTCAGCTACTACCGTCGCATTGTCAGTCGGCAACGTATCGACCAGACCAACAACATGTTGGTGAGCACGGAACTGGCTAATCGTATGTCCCTATTCTACGCACACGCTACTCCGATGCTTAAGGTGCTCAGCGAGGCGACATCCAAATTCGTCAACGACAATGCCGATGATGTGGAGAATACGACCGAAACTCTTGGCACGATGGCCAAAGTGTGCTTGCGAATGCTTGAGAATCCGTAAGTATTTATAAACAACACATGGACATTTCACCGTTTTGTTTTTTTTTTTTTTATAGTAAATTGCTGCAACAAATTGAACGAGAGGAAACACATCTGCTGGTGCTACGAGTAATGGTTGGCCTTGTGATATTATATGATCACGTACATCCAGTGGGCGCCTTCGCACGTGGCTCGCACGTAGACGTTAAAGGTTGTGTCCGCTTGCTTCAGGCGCAACCGGCCATCAAAGCGGAGCCTTTATTAAATGCGCTGCGTTACACGACAAAGCACCTCAATGAGGATAACACACCGAAAAATATTCGCAATTTATTAGCAGCATAATAACTAAGGCAGTGGCGCCTGACAGCTCAGGAGCAAATTGTCATCAACACTGCTAAATCTCTTCTCAACTACAGACACTACCGCCATGCTGCATGCAATACGTTTAACACTAGTAAACAAACAAGATAAACAATAACTTTGCTAAAAAAAATTGAGTGAATCGTGTTTTTGCATTTTTACATAGATAAGTATTTACATACATAAATAATTGTAAGTAAATAAAATTTGTAATTTAAATGAAGTACGAGTAAAATCGCCACAAGCAATATACAAGTATAGAAGAGTAAAGCTGATGGATGCCAGATAAAACTTTGTGCTCAGAAAAGTTTTCTCGCTTCCTCTTGACAAAATCGGCTCCCTTAGCAAGGCACTGTTTGTGGGTTTTTTGTGTGTGTATGCAAAGCTTTTGTCAGGGAGTTTAATGGAGTGTCAAAACTCGAATGTCAATAGTGAGCAAACCTTTAATTATTGAATCATGGCTTTGCGTGCCATTTATAACTTTTCCAGCAAAGCGCCAGACGAAAATGAACAATGAACGCCAAGAAAACAATTTTTTTACTGCTTTTTTACTCGTCGAAATTGCTGTGGATTTTATATATTAAGCTTTAAAAATATCAGCAATGTAATTAAATTTTATGTTTCTGCATGAAAACTCGAATTTGAACGAAACAAAAAGATGGGAGTGGGCCATTTCATCTGATCTGTCAAAGCGAATCTGTCACGCAAAGCTAAGCAAGCGTTTTATCTGGCATCAACTTAATGGTAATTATTAGCGATGGAAATTAGGATAGCATTGTTTTTATACTTTTATATGCAACTGTGGCTTCTTGGTCGGCTTTTTCAAAATACTTTGAACAATTTCAATCATCTTGATTCTAGAAAGAAGTATGTAATGTGTATCCTCATGAAAGCATTGAGTCAGTCCTATTGTTAACTTTTTATATTTTATAAATGAAATATTTAAGTAGAACTAAGGCAGAGACAACATATCTATTTTGCAAAGTAACAACACACGTGCCGCTGCAATTGGTGCAAAATCTGTCTTGTACGCGTATCATAAATGTAATAAAAATAGAAATTGCTATAAAAGTTAGTTAATGAAATGGATAAAAAATGTTGTATTGTGTAATTTAATTATTTAGATATGTATTTATATTTGTAAGTTTATAAATGCGTGTTTTAACATTATATGAAGTTTTAAGTATTTTACTTTTACAATAATCGTTCAAATTTAATGAAATGTAAGAACAAAGAAAACCAAATAAAGTCTACATTTATTTTACCTTTAAAATTAGTACATAGTTGCAAGTGCGGAAAGCTTAAAATCTGTTGACCAAGAAATACGTACATAGTACATATTTTTCGCACGTCTTTTTCAAAAGTGTATTAACTAGAAATGCGCCGTTTGTCAGAAAACGAAGAAACTTATTTCTGAGCTCATATTAATTTTATTTGAAAGGAGGCCTTACTGTTTTGGCAGTTTACAGTAGATTACAAGGAAATATTGCTCCAGCTTGCAATGCGAATTACACATACATATGATCGCATTGCAAATTGCGAATTCATACACTTTTGAAGAGCCTGTCCGATTTGCTCATCCATACATATGTATGTATGTGCATATACGAGAACATAAATTTGTAATTACTAGCATGTGTACATATGTATAGTTTTAAAAACGGCACAAAAATCTGTAATATTTTGGGTTAGTATAAATTGACGCTCGCTGTGGCTGATTGGTAAGCGGTGCATACTACCACTCAGCAGGACCTGGTTTCCATCCTATAGAAAAAGTGGTTTCTAACAGCGGTCAACCCTCGGCAGGCAATGACAAACCTCCGAGTGCATTTCGGCCATGTAAAAGCTTCTCATAAAATCCAGTTGCCGTTCGGAAGTATCGTAGAACTGAAGTTCCCAGCATTTGCGTAACAACATAAACACGCACACCACAAATTGGAGGAGAAGCTCAGCCAAAACACTGAGCAAAATCGTAATCGCCAAAATATTATTATTATAAATTGAAAAATTACATGTGTATGCACGTACATATAACCCCTGTGGGAAAAGGTAATGGCTGGGAATGCAAAAACTAATGAATAGCCCCTATAACTTACGCACGAAAAGATGCAAGAATTTCTCCACAGCGATGTCTTACGAAAGTAATGTGTCGCATGTCACTACGAAACTATAAATAGAATAAAAATAAAAAAAACAAAGTCCGTGGCATAGGTTTCGAGCCCGTGGCCAACAAAATGGCAGTCGAACACTCATCCATTCGGCTACGGCAGCTGTTGAAATAACGTAAAAAAATACTTGAGTTAGTTTTCAAACGTTTTGTTTTGAATTCAAAACTACACATCATCTGCTCGCTTACATTAATGTAAATAGCAAAGATAAATCGTCGTTTAAAGTACAAAAACGCGTATCGTCATTCTGCAAAACCGCGTAACTGACATTTGCTGCCAAAAATTGGATTTGTTCACACAAGCTCTTGGCTCAATCCTCATCTATTCGTCCTGAAATATAATAGCCTGAATTGCAATTGCGTTTTTACTATCTAGAAATTAATTTATGCAACCTCACATGCGCGGTTTTGAATTTTGTTGATACGCGGTTTTGAATTTTGTTGATACGCGCTCAAACCGAACATTTGAAAGTGCACTTGCATTTTGTGCCTGTAGCTGAGTGCGTAAAGATGCTTGGTGCAATTAGTTGCAGCCAAGAGTGTCCAGGTTCAAATCTCGGAACATATAATTTTAAACTTTTATTTTCGTTTTTGTTTTTTTAATTATGAAAAAGTATCTGTGGAAGTGCACAACGAAAAAAAGTGGTTTTTGTACCTTGTCACCTCCTAGGACAACTCCATGTTAAATGCGACAGTAGAAAGCATGGGTGATAGATTTGCGAGGTACCGGTATTCGACTCCCGAAAACTTGTCAATTCACTAGTTCTGTACTAGTACTTTTCGCTGCAGGGTTGCGATTAGAGATGGGCGCGTGAGTGATTTTGGCTCACGTTCACGCACGCTCACTTTGATGGTTTTGTAAATCATGCATTCTCACGTTCTGTTATATTTGTTTCAATCACGTTCACATACGCTCACGACGCCTAGTTTTTTAATCACGCACATTTTTCATCATGGACATTTTTTTTTTCAAATTGAGACTTTATTTACATTACACTGCCGGAACAAAGTATTGGCACAACAAATTTTTCACAATATATGCAACAATTTTTTTTCTAATATTTTTCCGCCAATTTTCTATAAAAATATGGTTCATTCAACAACAAAAAACATAAAAATATAAATCCTAAACTTTGTGCAAAACTCGCGTAAAATGAAAATGAAAATTTTCAACTTTTTAATTCGATTTTTTAGAATTCTTTTGAGTATGCAGATTTGTAGCCCATTTGTATTATAATAAAGTGCAAGTTATAAGTAGCTAGGAATAACCGTTAATTTTTGGCATTTTTTTTACACGCGGTCTCTTCCATACAAAAATTTTTTCGAAAATACTTTATATGGAAAAAATTCAAAACACCTTCAACAAAAAAAAAATTCTCAAAAATCAACGCGATTTTTGACTAACTTGCATTTTTTGCATACTCAAAAAAATCTGATTAAAAACTTGATAATTTTGATGAAAATTTTCTGTATTTTCGCGAGTTTTGCACAAAGTTTAGGAATTATATTTTTATGTTTTTTGTTGTAGAATGAAAATGGTTGCATATATTGTGAAAAATTTGCTGTGCCAATACTTTGTTCCGGCAGTGTATATGTAAATATCATTTCATATAAATAGTCTTTATCGCACAAGCATTGTAACAAAAGCTTGGCCAAATACGGTAAATAGGTTAAACAGTAGTAGTTTACGATTTTATTTGGGTTGAAAATACACATATGGGCATATCCTGGGTTACGGACGCTACATTCGTACGAATTTAGAGTTAAATAAATCTTACGAAAACTGAAGTCACTTGTCAAAAAATTGGCCGTTGTGTAGCTTTTATACCGTTCTTGGGTTGACACGAAAAAAATAGGTGCGCTTGGAACGATGACGTCGAGAAAATCGATGAAGAGGAGGGCATAACGGGCGCGACAAAAACAGAAGTGATGTCAAGAGTACATGCAAAAATAAGCCAGACTCAGCGAATCCTGTAAGGTATTCCTTTATGAAACATTCTTTAAATAAAGTCAGATGATGAACCGTTACAACCAATTCATTTTTAATCAGTAGCAATTCGTTGTTGATTTATTTTTTAATTAAATCTGGTGACGGACGTGACAAATTTTTCTCCCATACAATATATTTACAAGTAACACATACTAAATTAAATTTTTTATTTATTTTTATCAGTTCTTCTCTCCACCGTTTCGCGTTTTGAAAACATTTTGCCGCCATCTGAATACGAAGTTTAAAGTTATAAAGCCGTTTGAATTCATTTACTTGCATTTTCGGTTTACCTATTTTTGGAAATGCCCATAATATGGGCATATAATATGTATGTACTTACATCTTTTTGGCGGATGGGCTCAATATGTGAAAATGACATGATAGACGGAAATCTTGCTCACGCACGCTCACGCCAGCAAAAATTTCAGTCACGCACGATCACGGAAGTTACATGATTTTTCGTTCAAAACCGCTCACGCTCACGCATGAAAAACCGTGACACACCGTGTCACGTAGAAAATCACGTGTTTTGCCCGTCGCTACGTTCGATTCATCTTTTCGTCGAACCGTAGTTGTTGATCTTTTCTTGGTAGAAAAAGGTAATGCATTTCCTTTTTCCCACTGGGACATATTTATGTATGATATACTCTATACATATGTACATATGTATATAGGTACAGATGAATAAGGTGCCAAATGGGCCAATTGCATTTATAACCCACATATTTATATGTACCTACTTATAATACCAAATGCACAATATCGATATCACTACTATGTACATACCTACCATACATACATATGTTGAAGCTGCATATGTACATATGTAGACTAGGAGAAAAATGCAAAATAAAATTAATATATGTACATATATGTAAACACGCATGTAAAAACTAATACCCAAATTTAATAACACTTGAATTTTGAATAAAATATACCTACATACATACATATGTAACAAATGTAACTAAATTATGATAGCTAAAATCGATACCATTTGTACCAAATAATAAAAAATACATATTTGTTATGCCTATAGAGAAATAATTATAATGAAATGTGCGAAATTAAAGCATAATCTAAAATATTGGATTTTTTTCTTCCATTGGTTTTATTCGAGATGAAAACCCATGCATGTACTACATATTTACATAGTGTCGATGATTTGACTGGCAACGTTACATTCGTACGCATCTTTTTACAATATGAATCATTTGTCCATTAAAGAGGTTTTTTGGGTGATATGAATAGGCATGGTCAAAACTATGTTTCATCAAAAAAGGGATTTTTTGTATCATATATATAATACTTCTATATTGGCAGTAAGCTAACTCCACAATGTGTAAGCATTTCGAAATCAAAGCGAGACAGTCTAGTACCGTTTTTGTTTACTCCAGCAACACTCCCCAAAAACTCTTTTTGGAACTTGTATGCTGCTACAACAACAACAACAATAATAATAATACCGTTTTTGTGTATGTATTGTGTACATGTTTATTAATAAACCTATGTGTTCCCTTTCTTTCGTACGTGTTTATTGATATATCTGTACTGTAGTGTTTTCGGGCGGTACTAGCTCTTACCGCCAATATCATTACATATATGGTTTTAATAATTTCTTTAGTATCAGAGTTATGAGCATTCGAATGTGCATTGGCCACGTTACACTATTTGGAAGTTCAATGATGGGTCGCCTCAGAAAGTTTGAAATAACCGCGAACTGGTTAAACGAATTTTGCTTATAAGCTTTTATTTAACTTGGTCATCCCGCGGAAATCGCGGAAATTTCCAATCGATTTTAAACTAACTTCCCGACACGTTAGAGACTTGAAATTTTCAGCATAGCTCCAAGTTTTGTATGGTGTTTACCACTGACACAAACACTAATCTCTCAAGCAAAAAGTGTTTCTCAACGTGGCATATCACTCTGTGCGATCTTTTTGCGTTTTCCGTTGTGGGTTATTTATCAACTGCTAAAATTTCCCTTAGGCAAAGACACTTTGGCAGGGACTTTTATTTTTAAGTGTCTTAATTTGTGGGTTATAGTCTTCTTCTTTATTGGCGCTGTAACCGCCTAAGCGATTTTGGCCGACTCCAAAACAGCACGCCAGTCATTTCTCTTCTGTGCTAACTGACGCCAATTGGAAATGCCAAGTAAAGCCAAGTCCTTCTCCACCTGGTCTTTCCAACGCAGAGGAGGCCTTCCTCTGCCTCTGTTACCAGCCTCGCGGCCCGCGTTGAATATTTTCAGAGCAGGAGCGTTTCTGTCCATTCGAACGACATGGCCAAGCCAGCGGAGCCGCTGAATTTTAATTCGCTGCACTATGTCCATATCGTTGTAAAGCTCATACAGCTCATCGTTAAATCGTCTGCGATATTCGCCATCACCAACGCGTAAAGGTCCGTAAATCTTTCGCAGAATCTTTCTCTCGAAAACTCCAAGAGCCGCCTCATCAGATGCTTTCATTGTCCATGCCTCCGCGCCATACACCAGCACAGGCATGATGAGTGACTTATAGAGTGTGATCTTTGTACGACGAGAGAGGACTTTACTTCTCAATTGCCTACTCAGCCCAAAGTAGCACTTGTTGGCAAGAGTGATTCTCCGTTGGATTTCAAGGCTGAAGAATTTAGTGATAATAAAAAATATAAACAAACAAAGCAAATAAACCTCTTACATCTTCTTTATTTTTTAACTGCGCCAAATTAATTTGGTATCGTTGAAGTCAGCGTAAACAGTTCTATAAATCGGCGGTTATGGTTATTTTATAGCCAAACGGTCGATATTCTAGACTTGTTCCAGAAAATTGCGCAAACGATGGTGATGCCAACGAATATTTAGTAGAAGAATTTTTGGTTTACTACTCATAACTAGAAACTGTAGTGAGCAACATTGTGCACAAGTAAAGGAGCCGATTTTGTATGTGGGAGCGAGAAGACTGTTTTATTACAAAACCTTTCTATTATTGAATCATGGTTCTGCCTTATAACTTCTCTTTTTACTGTACTACAATCCATGATAAAAATATTTATAAAAAAATATTTGTATTATGCTACAATCTACTGAAGTTTAGAAGTAAAAGAGACTGATGCTTTGTATTTTGACGTTTTGGAATGCACCTTTTATATAGGCGACCATAAGGTAAAAGCTCTATGATCAACGTTAATACCCTACAATAACAGTTATAGTCATTTGATAAGAGGGTACAAATTGCCGCTTTAGACTTTTAGCCTCAAGAAAAAAAGGTCACAAATTTATTCATTAAGGTATGGCGGGATGCAAGACTTTCAGGTATTTAAGGAAATGCTGCTCTCAAATACCAGTGACCCGATTTTATAGAATTTATTAATATTAAGCTTCAATACGGCACACATTTTTTGTTATAAACACAGAATTGCATTATACAGAAATACGTATGTATTAATAATAATTTTTCCTCTGTGTAAATAAAAGTCTTTGAACGTAGCTGCAATTGGGGTTTTGGCATTCCTTGAATTTATTCATAAGTATTTACAAAATACAACTCCCTTCTCGCAAGAATCGATGTTTTGGATAACTATTTCTACAGTTGGGTCGTAACATACTTTTATATACATATGTACATACATAGAATATAGCAGTTGGAATACAAAACATACATACGTAATACGTATTACGCATGTATATATACATATCGTCGTTTAAAGTAAAAAACCGCGTATCGCCAGAAATTGGATTTGCTCACACAAGCTCTTGGCTCAATCCTAATCCATTCGTCCTTAAATATACTAGCCAGAAATGCGATTGATTTATAAAAAAGAGAACAATTTTGAAATATGAGTGTCTTTACTCTCTAGAAAATAATTTTTACTTTAAACGACGATATGTAGCTAAGCGAGCTCTCTACGATTAGATTTTTCAGACACAATTCTGCTTATTTAGCGTAATTTTGGATATACTTGTAAATTGCTTACTTCAATACATTCATACATACATAAGCTGCACTTCGTATAGACAGAAGATGTTGATTCTTAAAAATATCAAAATACATGGTAGTACATCAGTGAATATTGCTTATAATTAGCAGGTAATGGTACTTTTTTAAATCTAAAATTAACTAGGCTACAGCATACGGATTCAGTTTCTAATTAGATACGTTTTTTTCCATCGAGTAGATTGTAAGCATCCATGCCCTTCATATATGCACATACATATTTTGAAAACGGCCACTTTATGAAATCAATGCACAGCGTTGTGGCGATATTAAATGTAGTCTGAGCTGAACCGCCGCCCGTATGCTCGTCTCGCATCATTTTGCGCTTTGGTTAACGTCCACAACCGTCCAAAATATTGTTGGGTCGAGGTTTCAAAATAAGCTTTCCTGTATCGTCGCAACTCATATTAAAATCACTAAGTACGGTGCGCATTCGTGTTGTTATAATTTTTGGTGCAAACACCAATTTGTGAATGCCCATAATAAAGAGAATGGCTACAATGACATACAAGTATGGTTACATAAACAAATTAAAAGGTTTGATTTTAAAAATTTACCGAGCGCCAATGTAGCAAAGGTGAATATGGGATGCAAGAGCAGAGACTCCATTAAAGGCACTATAGATGTTCGCGGATCCCGGAGCCAATAAAAGGCACCAATTGCTGTGCATATGGAAATGGTGGCAAGAACTACTGCAAATATTCGGAAAAATAGTAAGATTTGCATCAACATTTTGTCATTCATACATATGTATGTGCATATGTAAGCATATCGCAGCAAATTACTTACTTCGCCATCGCATTGTAGATGGTCCATAAGAAGATACTACTTCCGTTAGTCTTCGCTCAAAGGCTTTTAAATCTGAAAGTTAAAAATAAGATACATATATATGTATGTACATATGCGCACATCAGAGTAAGCTAAATGCCCAATATAACATTATAATCATTCATATACTATAATTATATATGCAAATGAAAATACACTTGTACCATAAATACCTTCACAGGCCGATGGCTCCATAATGGCAATTTTATAGTTGACTGAGGCTTTAATCCTCTACTTCCGGTACCAATTGTATAAAGTTGTTTCAGTGATTACAGAAAGTAACCTAATATCTTACTAAGAAGATTTCATTTTATTTTTTGTGTAGATAGAATTTAGTGACTGCAAATTCACAATTCTTTCAGTAAATATGATTCTTGCACTCGTCCCCCTTTCACCGTTCTAGAGCTCGGATATTATCGATATTATATAGCTATATCGATAGTATCGATCTGAAAACTGTCGCCACTATTGATAGTTTTTGAAAACTATCGATGTCAGTTTTACCGGCCGTCTTCACATGCTTGAAAATCTGGCTTGCGTTCTGCGTAGGGATAAATCGATACAAGTAAATCCAAGTACATACTCGATACTTTTTTCGATTTACCAAGAATTTTTGTACTCTATACTTTTTACTGCGATCCAAGTAGGTATCGAAAAAAAAGTACTTGTATCGGAAGCGCAAAACTTATTATGATTCAGCATCTTCTTTGAAAAGCAAACCATTAGAGGAATGGGAAGATATGCGCACTACATTTCCGCAGCTATATAAGGAAACCTGTGTGTATATAACGGTTGTTGGGTCATCTGTTCCCGGCTTTTCTCAAAAACAGGTACAACTTTATCCAAATCTCGAAACCGCTTTCCAGGAAAGCTCTTGGAAAAGTTGATGTTTTTGGGAAATATAACAAAAAAAAATAGTTCTTTCCTTAAACTTATTTTATATGAAAAAAATTTCTCTATTTATCTTGTAAATATGTATTCTAATGTTTTTGAAATCAATAATTCTATGTACAAGTACTCGATACCTTTCCGATACTGAGTAGGTATCGATACCTTGTTTGATACAAGTACAAGTACTGATTTGAGTAATACCTTGATGGTATCGATTTATCCCTAGTCAATGGTACTAATAGACATAGACCGTTTTGCAGTATCATCGACGATATGAAACGGAAATTATAGTAACTTATTTTGATTAGTTTTTTGATTTTGGCCGTTTTTATTATAATTTATTCGTTAATTTTGAGCTCCAGGCCGGTTGTNTAAACAACAAAAATGACAGTTGAAAACAAGCAAGATTTTCCAGCACGTGAAGACGGCCGGTTAGCGAAACTTCACAATAGGTTCTTTCCCGTACGCAACGCAGGATCCAGCGAGTGCACAAAATAGCACAGAAATCATTCCCCTACGCAACAAAATGGGTAATAGACAGCGAAAATTGGAACGTATTGCATCGTAAGTGTCTTCTTCTTCTTCCTGTCGGCAACTGCTCAGATGTTTGCTCCGGGTAAAAATGGATAAAGCGTCAAAGTGCATATCAGCTGTTTTGTGTTTACATGTTGCCTGCATTTACTTGGTGCTTTTAAGGAATAGTGAATGTATTTTCAATCTTTATATTCTTAAAATCAAATTTGATAAACAAAAATGTAATTTATCTTTTTCTATCTATCTATCTTTAGTTTGACATATTGCTTTTTTTAATCGGTTATGTATTTCATAAGATATTAATATTTAAAAAAAACTTAAAAATAACTTTCAAGACTAAATATCTTGAAAACCAGAAGGCCCCGACCCGACCCCTAAAAGTGGGTATATTTGAAAAGCGGAGACGCCCAGTTTTCCAAAGGCAAGGTCAAAATTCGTTGCCCCGGTTATCGTAATCTCCCCATGAAGTTTACTAAAACGTTTGCTGAAGCAGCCTCATTCTTGGTTCAATGTACTAGGGGGTCAATTTTCAAAAAATATCGATACATCGAGTGGAAAATTTTCGATCATCGAAGCTAAACATCGATATTTTCGATCCATCGATGTTTTTCTGACATTGCTAATTAGCAGATGTTGAATGCTTTTACCGCCACTTATTCACCAATATATTTTTCTCTGTCCAGGTGAAGCAATTTCATGTAGCTTTCGCATTTTATGGAAAATGTGTGCAAATAAAGTTCCATTAGAATGGAAACGCCGTGTTAAAACGGAGTACATGAAAATTAGACAACAGAAACGCTATAAACGAGCTGACGAAATCAAAGAAGCTTGGATAAAAAACTGGTTAGTTCTAAAACCTTGTTTTTCTGTAAATAATTTCTTGAATGTTTTCTAGGGAGGAGCATAACTACAATGTACAAGATCTATATTGCGAGCCAAAAGTATGGCACGCTCAGCCTTATGATCCTCCTCATTTAGACTGCATAAAACGAGCCGAGGTTTCTGGCTATAACGGTAGCGGTCCCCAACGAGTCCCAATTTGTGTAATAAATGCGGTTACGCCAATCCCAACAATGTATACTTGGGCACCTACACAACAAAACTTTATGGTCGAGGATGAAACGGTGTTGCATAATATTCCGTATATGGGGGATGAAGTACTAGATAAGGATGGGAAATTTATTGAGGAACTAATAAAGAACTATGATGGCAAAGTCCATGGAGACAAGGACCCGTCTTTTATGGATGATGCAATTTTTGTTGAATTAGTGCACGCTTTGATGCGTAATTATACAAAAGAGGAAGAAACATCTTCTAGTGGCGCTGTAGGTGGGCAGATCAGGTCAGAAACTGTAAAAAGTGAAACGGGAATTAAGGACGATAAGGAGAAAGAAAAAGTTAAAGACTCAACTACCAATTTGAAGAATACAAAATCGGAAGAAGAAACGAATATCTTAAAGAAGGAGGATGAGGAGACAAAGGAAAAACTTCCGTTTCCTGCTCCTATAATTTTTCAAGCAATAAGCTCCAACTTCCCAGACAAAGGAACTCCACAGGAGTTAAAAGAAAAGTATGTTTATCTTTTTCGAAAGTACACTTATTTATTGCGCCTGTTCTGAAAACCATACGATTTGAAATCGGTGTGGTTTGCAAATAGGTTTTCAATATATATAGATGAATAATTAAGATTTTTAATGGAAACTGCTAAACCCAGTAGATAATTTAAGGAGTTAAAAGCCCTTCCGAAAGGCCTTCCACTCTACATTATTTTCTTTTTTGTATGGAGGGCTTCTTTCGCTACCCATGGAAGGCTTTCCAGAAGGGCTTTTAGAAGTTATTTTAGAGCTGCTTTAATTTATAAAAATCATCCCTCTTTGAAGTATTTGCANATATCAAATATGTGTTATTGCAACTTAAAATGTTTATTGAAATTAATTTGTAATGCTTAATAATATAAATTTACGTATTCGCGTAAATTGTAAATGGATAAGCCCTTCGCGAAGGCATCTTAGGCCTCTTAGAATGGCTTTAATTAAGAAGGCCTACCTAAATTATCTTCTGGGAAGAGCCGTCAGCTTTATCGCTTACATCGGTTTATTGCAAAATTATTTCTACTTTGTTCACAAATTCCCGAAAAGAATTTTGTAAATCGAAACGATGTTAAATCTTACGAATGTCACAACATGACTGTGGTTTTCTTTTGTATTATTAGATACATTGAGCTAACAGAGCACCAGGATCCTGAAAGGCCACAAGAATGCACTCCTAATATTGATGGGGAAAAAGCCGAAAGTGTGTCACGAGAACGAACCATGCATTCATTTCACACACTATTTTGCCGGCGGTGTTTTAAATACGACTGTTTTTTACATCGTAAGTATTTTTCTTTAAGTTGTTATTTGAAGGGCGCATTTATTGTGAATATAAAGAAATTAATGTTAATTCTAATTGTTATTAGCCACACTAAGAATAATATGTATACAGCAACAGAACAAAATAATTGTAGTTTAAAGAATCTCTTTTCCTTTTTCTTTTTCGTGCAAAAAACGTTTGCCTATTATTACCCAAATGAACCCCTTAAAAATGCTTATGATACTTCATATTGAAACTGCAAATGAACTGCAACTTAGGTCACCAAACGAACGGTGAGTTGTAGTTAAGAAAGCATATATATTTATAAGTCTCATTTTAAATTAACGGAATCGTCAACCATTTTTCACATAACTTACCAACATCATCACCACTGCAGTAGTTTACAGGCTCAAAAACCTCAATTCATTTACTTCTTTCAAATCCTTTTCAAGTTAAAAACAAAAAAAATCGTTACAAAGCGCCAATGTTATTTGCTTTGATAATAGATTAGAGTTTGTCTACCTGAAAGCTGCAGCATCAACACTATATGTATATATGTATATATGTATTTATAAAATGTATTGTAATATATCGGGACATTTAAACTTGGCAAATCAACAGCACTAGCTGGGTTTGGCTAGTATAATTAAATGTCTATTTAATTCCTTTAACCCTCATGAAAATATGTGTACATACCTATATATAAATAAGAGTACAAATAAGTATATAAGTATGTATGTTTATATTGACTTCAAAATTACCATGTAAGTTTAGAAGTGATATATGAACCATTTTATTGTACCTTAACTTAAACATCAGTCTCGCCAACATCATTTAACATTTAACCACATAACGCATCCACTCATCGCATCACCGCATTTTCTGATGTCTAACCTTCAATGTTAGTACATTAAAAACGGAGAAGCTAACATGTGCTCGCCATTGATATGAGTTATTCCTTATTTTTTATTGAATTAACAAACTATTGGTTTGGAATAGGTCTTCAGGTTGGCCATGCTGGGCCTAATTTACAAAAACGTCGTTTTCCTGAGTTGAAATCGTTCACGGATCCCTGTAGTAATGCCTGCTATATGTTGCTGGTAAAAAACTTCCGTTAATATTTTATACAGTCTGATAGTTGAGCTATTTTTGGTAGGACGGCATGAAAGAAAAATTAGCTGCTGATAGCAAAACACCCCCTATTGATTCATGCAATGAAGCTAGCTCTGAAGACAGCAATGACAGCAACAGTCAATTTAGCAACAAGGATTTCAATGCAGATAATGGCAAAGAAAATAGCATTGCTGTGAACAGTGCTGCCTCCGCCGAAATAAACTCTATAATGGGTATGACTTTACTTGCTTTATATAAATTTAATTGCTTGAAGTAAAAATTCTTATTTTAGCTGGAATGATGAATACAACTAACACAAAATGTGACTGGACGGGAGCTGACCAGTCTCTATTTCGCACATTGCACAAAGTATTTTTGAAAAATTATTGCGCTATTGCCCAAACAATGCTAACAAAAACGTGTCAACAAGTATGTACTTATACTTAGGCGTGCTTCTCTCCTTATCATTTATTATTAATTAAAGGTGTATGAGTTTGCTCAAAAGGAGGAGGCAGAATTTTGCATTGAGGAGTTGCGTCAAGACTATACTCCACCAAGGAAGAAGAAGAAGAAGCAGCGCCTATGGTCGCTCCATTGCCGCAAAATACAGTTGAAAAAGGATTCTACATCAAACCATGTTTACAATTATACACCATGTGATCATGCCGGACCATGTGACATGAATTGTTCTTGCATTCAGACACAGAACTTTTGCGAGAAGTTCTGCAACTGCAGCAGTGATTGTCAAAATCGTTTTCCTGGTTGCCGTTGTAAGGCCCAAT